TCAGGGACTGACACGCGCTTTCCTTCCATGTTCTCTCTTTTGTGCAACCAACTTCTCAGTCCCTGTCATACAAGCCATAAGTGCCAGTACTGCCTACCGCACCGTAGGTACTCAGAAAGTTTCATTGAACAGAAACCGTTTTGTCCATATTACAGTAAGATTTATTGTTGCAGTTATTGTTTTTTTTGTGTGTGTGTGAGGAGATCGGCCCTGTGCTAACATCTGCCAATCCTCCTCTTTTTTTGCTGAGGAAGACTGGCCCTGGGCTAACATCGTGCCCGTCTTCCTCCACTTTATATGGGACACCGCCACAGCATAGCTTGCCAAGCAATGCCTCGGTGCGTGCCCGGGATCTGAACCAGCGAACCCTGGGCCACCGCAGCGGAGCACGTGCATTTAACCACTTGCGCCACCGGGCTGGCCCCGGTTATTGTTGTTTTTAAGAGAAGCTCAGTTAACCCACGTTCATTTCCTTAGCTGTATAATTAGCCTTGAGTTTTTATTTCTAAGTGCCTATTCCAGACTCCAGGAAATGCCAAGATTTAAAGACAATTTACCATACAGCCTAACATACAGACACATACAATGAAATATCACCAGGCCTGGCATGGGCCGGGGCTGTCGACCTCTGATCTTCCAGCAGGTCGTGTGCCTGCGGAACACTGAGCAGTGGTAACCCGGAGCAATCAGCCAGCCCCGGGGCTCATTGGCTCCTTCACATCCATTATAAGCCCTGTGAAAGCATCCAGGCAATCAGCGACAATACCTCCCTTCTGCTGAGGCTGATTGAAAGTGGTTTGAACTAATTTACCTAATATTACTAATTAGGGAACTTGGAGCATTACTTGAAAAGCTGTTTCTGATTAGGTGTATGATCAGACGCAGCGTTGTTGGGGGCCGTGATTGTCCTCCCACTCGCCCAGCCTTTGCCACCTGGTGTCATGGCAGAGGTGCTGCGCTGGCTGCTGGCTGTGTCAACTCTTTATTCCAGGTTAGGGCGTCTTAACCTGTTTTATGCCTTGGACCTCTTTGGCGGATTGGTGAAGCCTCTGGACTATGCCTGAGAATAATGTTTTTAAATGCATAAAATAAAATGCATAGGATTTGAAAGGAAACCAATTATATTGAAATACAGTTATCAAAATATTTAAGAAATTATTTGATAAAGTAATATATATGTTTCTTTGTTGATCTGTAGCAGGGCTAATAACCACCATAATTTCAAAGTGATGCTGAGCTTAAACCATATGTGAGTTATCTGCAACAGCTGTAATGGGATATGAAAAATCCTTGTGATTCCTGTTGGTGACAGAGTCACAGGAGCATTAATACCTCTGTATTTTCTGCCTAACTTCATAATAGAAGGAAATGCTGAATATCAGTTAGAGGTTAGTGGAAATGTAGTTTTCTCTCATCCAGGTTCACAGATCCCCCTGGACCCCAGATTAAGAGCCTTTATCCACATGCACATGTGAACATACTCTCGTTTGACTAATTGGAGCTGTCTCTTCATAGTCAATCGGTGGATATTATAACTGACCAAAGTATAAACTCAATGGCAGAAACTCTGCCTTTGATTAAAGGCCAGAAAGCTTCTTAATCGTAGCTAGGAGAACGTTTCTCTGGGCGTTTGATTATTCAGTGAAAAGAAGTGACTAGAGGAGCTAGAAAACCGTTGGCTTTTGATTAAGGGAAAAAATTCCATATTCTTTCTCTCTGGTTCCCAGTGTTTGGATCAAAAACTCAAAATTGAGAGCTTTGTCTCATTTGTTTGTTTGTTCCATGAAGCATTTGAGAAGACTTAAACAGAAACACACAATGATAAATACAAGTAAGAAACAAATAATCAGGACCAAAGGAAATGTAAGTTTATATAGGAAGTCAGGACCAGAGGGAGGGGCAGAAACAAATAGGCAGATCTTACTGGCCATTGTGGTCGATAAGATGGAATTTTAGCCAGAGAGAAAAGAAAGTTATCAAAGAAACAAAATCACACCCATATCTAAGAGAGACACAGCTTTTCCTCAAAAATCTTAGGTTTGAAAGCAAATTTTTATGAGGATTCCCTTCTGGGGCACTAAATAATGTAGTGTCCCAAAGGGGGACTTCTAGAGGCAGGTTTCTTAACCGGGTGTGGGATCCATGAATTGGCTTTGCCAGTGAGCCCCATGAGACTGGGTAGAATCCAATGTATTTGTGTAGGTGCTTTGAGGGGTGGAGTGAGGAGAAGGTCTATAGCTTTCATCAGATCATTTAAGACTCCATAACTCAAAAGAAGGGTAAGGAACCAGGGAGTAAAAGTCGTTTATGATCTGAGGGTTCTTGTTTTCCACTCCCATCTGAGGACACTTTCCTGCATAGCAGACCACGATTATAGATGCCATTAGACAGAGAACCTGTGGCAGTCTGCTCAGAGACACTGGACCAGCCCTCTGAGCAGAACAGCTCTGGAGTTCTACCCACTCCCCTTCCTTGGGATTTTTCTGGAGATGGTTAACAGATGCTACTGATGCTTGCCGAGTCCCCTGGCAAACTGAGACAGTATAGACAAAACTAGTGTCTTTCTAGCTTGTGCTTAGCTGTTTGGAATATTTCTGTCTTTCCTTTCATTGTTTTTACTCTAAACACTCATTTCCTGGATTTGGGACATTTAACCTCTTTGATGGGCCTATTTTCTGCAACTAAATGAAATAGTAAAAAGGAGCATGACCCCAAAGGAGTTCAATTATCAGGTAATTGGTCAAGTGATCAGAATGTGAAATGAAAAAAATAATGAGAGGTTGAAAAACAGAGCACATTTAAATGCCAAAACTGCTGAGGACACCTGTTTTATAACCCCCAGAATTTAGAAACTCACCTGCGTGTTTGGAATTCTATCTTGTTGCCTCCAGTTCCTAAATAGTTTATTGGAAAACCATGGTAGGTTCTTTCAATATATATTATTTGGGTTGTATAAAAATTTTACTACTCCTTCCTTTCTTTATAATTATTTGGGTGAAATACTGTTGTCATAATCCATAAGTATTCTTGTGAAGAAATTTTGTATTGATCTGTAAGGCAGCAACTTTAGAAATTTCACTTGGATAATTTACTCTCCTTAATTTTTTTTTCAAAAACACATTAAAGCATATTTCATATCATACCAAAACCTTGTATTATGTCAAACAGTTTATTTTGTTAATTGTATCCTAAGTTGGTTCATAGTACGGATTCAACGGTGAGTTGCTATAAACGTCTGGGAGCAGCCGGTGTAAGAAGCTGTAGCAGTTAGATGCAAAATTAAATGAATCTTGTCTAATAACATATAATTTAAAAACAGGTAGAACCTGATTAAGCTTGATCTGCTAGCAATGCGGTGGATCAGTACCTGAGTTATGTTTATGCTTGCAAAGTTTTAGATCAATGAATTTACATACCCCAATTAGGAAAAGATAATGGAAAGGATTTGAGATGGAAAGAATTATGGCTCCATAAATTCTCTGGGACTAGATGAAAGTAAATGTTTTTAATTGAAGGAATTAAATCATTTTGATTTGAGTTCCACTCAAGGCTGCTTGTGCCACTGTGTCCCCAGTCCTGGCACTTTCCTGCACAGCGCCCTCCTGTCCCACCAGTCACTGCCATGCCCTTGACTGTTGGCAGTTGAAGTCAGGTCATTCAACCTGAATTCCTTCACTCATTTGTTTTTCTGATCTGATAACAGCAAATAAGTGTGGAGGGTCTGCTTCTGTGCCCGTTAACAGCTTAGCGAGAAACAAGCCCAGGGCCTGTCCTCAGGAAGCTTACAGGCTCGACAGGGAGAGAGAGGGAAGCAGAAGGCATACACATGAAATACAGTGGCTGCCTTAGTGAGTGATACCGAGCATGGTGCGTGGGGCTGGGAGGAGGTGCAGTGCACAGCCCTGCTCTGGTGTGGGGATTAGAGAAGGCTGTCTGGAAACTGGGGCCGTATTGGGTAGCCCGTGCCATGCTCATGGTCTAAAAAATCAAATCAAGTACCAAAAGGTACACGGAAAAAAAGTCAGCGTTCCTGCCACCACTGACCTACTTCTCCTCAGAAAAAAACACGGTTATTAGTTTTTCATGAAAAATGACAGAAAATTGTCAAGCTTATGTACACTTGCATGTATAGCCTTTTGTAAAAAGCACAAAAGGTGCAAAAAAGACACGGCGTTTGTTTACATTCTGTCGTCTTTCCACAGCAGCACATACAGAGGTGCGTCACTCTTCAGTGGACAGGATACCAGAATGTAAACTGTCCCCGACTGTGCAACAGTCATGTCCTATGTTCTGTCGTGACCCGTGCTACAGGGCCTCTGCTTGAACTGGCCCCTCTGTACATGTGCAGCTGTTAGGAGCAAGGCTGTGAAGTCGGATTGCTTGAATTCAAATCCTGGATCCCGGGCCGGCCCCGTGGCTTGGCGGTTAAGTGCGCGCGCTCCGCTGCTGGCAGCCCGGGTTCGGGTCCCGGGCATGCACCGAAGCACTGCTTCTCCAGTCATGCTGGGGCCGCGTCCCACAAGCAGCAACTGGAAGGATGTGCAACTGTGACATGCAACTGTCTACTGGGGCTTTGGGGGGAAAAATAAATAAATAAATAAATCGTTTAAAAAAAAAAAAAATCCAAATCCTGGATCCCTTGTTTACTAGCCAGATAGCCTTGGGCAGGTTACCTCCTCTCTCTCTAGCTGAGTTTCCTTATCAGTAAAACACAGATAATAATGGTACCTACTTCATAGGCTTCTCATAAAACTTAAAAAAGTACTTAGATCACTGTCTGGCATTCAGTACCATCCAATAACTATAAATACTTCTACTAGATTTTTTTTAAAATAAAAGGGTCAATGGAAATAATCCATAATCCATAAATCAAAATTGGGGTGAGTTTATTATGAGCCGAATTTGAGGACCATATAGCCTGGGGCCTTCCTTCCCCAAGGAAGGAAGGGCACCAAAGAAGTGGGGTGTACAGAGCAGTTATATACCATCAAAGAGCATGCGTCACATATAATTGCACTGTCACTTTTACAGTAGTCACGAGATTGTCCTGTCGGCACAGCAGTTGATGGACACAGCAGGTAGCAGGTCTGTTGTCTCAAGCTGGGTGGTCACAGGATGAGCACAGCAATCAAATCCTAGCCTAGGGAGAAATGCTTATGCCTAAGGAAATCCCAGTGTGGGGGAAGTTGCATCCTTATCTTAAGGGCATTTGTTCTTGTCTTTGGGACATGATAAATACTTAAAGCAGATATACAATGTATGTTCAGAGGCCACTAGCCTTTTTGGAAAAACAGACTCAGGCAGAATTAGTTTTACACCAAATGGCTGCCTCCAATATATCCTGTTGCTTGCCATTTATTTATCAAAAGCTTTATTGAGATATAATTCCCATACCATATAATTGACCCATTTAAAGTCTACAAGTTGATAGTTTTTACTATATTCACAGAGTTGTGTAACCAACACCACTATCAATTTTAGAACATTTTCATCAACCCAGAAAGAAGCCTTGTACCTGTCAGCAGTCACTCTCCATTTCCCTCCAACCCCCTCCTCATCCCCAGCCCCTGGCAACCACTCATGTACTCTGTGTCCTTATTGATTTGCCTGTTCGGGACATTTCATATGAATGGAATCGTATAATGTGTGGTCCTCTCTTTCTCTGAGCATCATGTTTTCACGGTTCATCTACCTTGTAGCCTGTATCAGTACTTCATTCCCTCTTATGTCTGAATAATATTCCATTGTATGGATAGAAGACCACATTTTATCTATCTACGTTTACTTTTTGTTGTTATTCTATGAGATAAATTCTTAGAAATAGATTGTCGAATCAACTGGTAATATTAAGAAAAGTGGAAGTTAGGCCTTGGTCCTAATATATGGTACAAATAATACATTTTAATATTTTTACTCCATTACTAATCCCTAGTGACCCCAAAGATCAAATTTACCATATTCTTTATGGCGAAAAAAAATCTTTATGGCGAAAAAACGTAAACATAAAAGAGAGGGTGTTTTTTAATGTGGAAATTAAAGCCCCAGGGCACTGAGTAGAAGGGAGGGGACCGAGTCGCCCATCTCCCTGGCTTCATGCAGACCCATTTGCTGTCTCAGATAGCTGAGAACCTGTTTTTGTAAGACTCTAACTCTTCATTTTCACAATTCTAATGAAGGATCTTCTGTCTGAAAATTAAACCCAAACTTTTGGAAAATAAACAGCAGATTTGCTAAGATTAATTGAGTTGCTCTTATCCGTAGCCTTCTTTTCTTTCTGTTTTAAGTAATCACTTCAAAAAACAGTCTTCCCTGATTCATTCCTCATCATTAGGTAAACTTAAGAGGCCACCAGAAATTGGGAAGAGCTCATTACTATAAATAGTAGTACTCGTGATAGTGTAGCACCACCAAGGTGGTTGTGTTATTATGAAATAATAGTGTCTTTATCCCTTTTTCCAGATGAGCAAACTATCAGGTCAGACAGCTTGCCCAGCACCGCCCACTGGTGATGCAGATGCTGTGGCTGAACCCGGCTCAGTAACTCGGAGCGTGGACTACTTTTATTGGACCCTCGAGGAGTTGCAGCTGTGCTGGGGTGAATCCTTTTATCTGCTGCCCTCCCACGGGCCAAGGCTGCATGAAAACTAGGGGAAGAGGGTGCTGAGGTCAGGGGACAGTGTTCCTTACTTGAGTTTGATGACAGGCAGCCCTAGATGCGCTTTTGGATCTAAACCTACAAAATACAAAATGAATTGTCTCCGTAGCTATGTAAGGGTGAAGGGTGGCTATAAGTAGAAACAGGTGATGTTTAGTTGCAATCTAGGCCATCCCGCCATCCCTGGCCCACATCAGCATTATCAGGTTTAGGTTAATAGGATGATGTTGGGGTGGGAATTGCTTCTCTTTGTTTAATACACCAGGGCAGCCATACTCAAAGATGTCACATTTTAAAATTTCACTTATCAGTAAATTAAAAACGGTCCCCAGAGTCCCTAATCCAGGGATCTCCAAACGCTTGGCACATGCTGTGGGAGATTCGCAGCACGTCTGAACAGAAGACAGTTTTGTTATTCTCAATAACCGGGCCTGCTGACAGCCAGCCCCAGGACCGCTGGGGTCCCAACAGCATAAAAGTAGACGTGTCATTGTAGCAGCCTCTGGGCTCCACTGAGGAAGAATGTGACCATCTTGTCCGAAATCTTAGCATCGCCATCTTAAACTCTTTGTTCGTTCTGAGGCTTGTAAAAATTTCTCTACCTGTGAAAGGCAAGTTCAACTACCAGTTAGTTAGAGCAGACAGAACAAGGTACTTGCAGTGGGCATTTATCCTTCTTCTTGACCTCCCAGGACCTGTGAACTCCACTTTCCCTCCCGTATGTGTCTTGGAGGAAGGCAGAAACCACCTGCTGAGGTTGAAGCCAGATGCCCTGGTGCTCTTTCCAGCTTCCCTTGCAGCTAGGACTCAGGCCTGTAACCCAGTCTCGACCACTTAGACCCCCCTGAAGCAGATTTTGAATCTTCAGCTATTGCCACAGAGGAGGCAGGATCTGTCCTGGTGAGGGGGTTGGCAGCCACACCCTCTCTCTAGGGGCAACAGTGGGCAGGGGTCCAGCATCGTTAGCATCCAGCATGGCCATCAGCAGTGTCAGTGGGCAAGCCGGGGAGGGGGGGTCCATGCCCAGGCCAGTGTTTTTCCCTGGAAGCATATTTGCATGTGATTTGAGGTGCTGCTTCTGCCTTCTTAGCCTCAAAACCTGGTTCTCCAGCTTTCTTTAAGAGCTGCAGCTCCCTAATATCCTTTAATAAATTGCCTCTCCATTTAAACTAGCCACAATCAGTTTGCAGCAAAGAAATGATCAATGGAAGCTTCCACAATCACTTCTAGTTACTTCCCAAATTACCCGCCCCGGGGCCAGATTTCACTCTGTGCTTCTCCCTAGGTATATCTGCTGGGGGTTCCCCTCACACCTCAATTTCATCATGTGAAAACCAAACTCACTCTCTTCTTAGAGCTTCCTTTTTGTTTGGTGGTATGTCGTTGTTCCTCCGTCATGAGGATGTGAACTGTGTGGATTCATCCTTGAGCCATCTCTGCTCCCCGCCCAGCCTCCCTGTAGCCTGGACCCCCCTCTGCCATATGAGCTCCAGACACTCAGGCCAGGACTTTTGCAGCTGCCTGCTGATTGAACTCTCTACTGTCAGGGTGGCCCCTCGTCACATTGTCCCTTCCATTGCCCACCTGACCCCCCTCCGCCGTGTCACACGGTTGGCCCCATCACCTCTGTGGTGTTCTTATTACAGAATGGCCTCAGTCCTACCTCCCTTCCTGCGTCTCATCCTGCAGCATCACTTGCAGCTCTTCCCATCAGGAGGGGCAGCATGTTCCTTTCACCCTGCGTTTGCAGAGGGGCAGCGTGAGGCAGTGATCAAGAGCACGGGCCACAGCATCCGTCTTCCCTGCCTGGTTCAAGTCACAGCTCCATCCTGTAACGGCCGTGTGGCTTGTGCCACCTCCTCTGTGAGATGAGGCTAATAATGGTACCTACTTCAGAGGCTTGTTGTGGGGATGAGGCGAGATAGTGAACATAAAAGGGCTGGCACTAAATAAGCATTGAATAAATGGTGGCTGAACCATCCTCCATCATCCTCCATCTTTGTCGTTGCTGTTGTCGTTGTCATCGTCATTGTGTCTTCCTTTGAGATTGAGCGCTGATTCCTATCTTCTTCTTGAAAACTTCTCCTGAAGTACCTGTTTGTAGTGATTCCTCCTGCTTGTAAACTCAGCGGTAAGTCTGCTTGATTAACGTGGTGCCGAGCTCGGGCTGTCATCTGCAGCATTTGTCTGATGCACTCAGTCTCGTTAAGAGTGTGGGTTTTGGAGTCAGAAGATGTGGCTAATTAACCCTGTGACCTCAGGCTAGTTACTTAACTTCCCTAAGCCTCAGACTTGATAAAACATGGAAAATAATAGCTATGTCAGTGGGCGGGTGGGAGGATTAAGTGAAATACTGATTGGGAAACATTTCGAACAGTATCTGGCACCTGATAAGTACTGAGTAACTGTGATGACTGTTACTGGTGCTGCTTTTTGTCTCCCCTCCCAGCCTGTGAACCTCTTGAAGACAGATTCTCTGCCATTTACCCTTTTGTATCCCAGAACCTACCACAGTATCCGATACATAGTGAGTGCTCCGAGCATTTAAGCCTTTTGGAGACAGGCAGACCTGATTTTAAAACTAAGTGTCATTTGAGAGCTATTTGACCATGGGCAAGGTCCTAGACCTCGCTGAGCATCTGCCTCCTTATCTGGCAGCCAGTGGTGAGGATATCCACGTTCCTGGGTTGTTTGGAGGATTAAACAAAGTCACAAAGTACAGGGCCTGTGACAGACCTTGATGGTGGGAGTCATGGACTGGCGTCCTGGCTGGTTTTCCTTTATCATTTGACACCATGCTGGACCACGGAGTGGTACTCTGTCCCTTTTCCTGCGAGAAGCAGAAATGTGAGGAGTAGAAAGGGGCTTTGTTTTTTCTTTCTTTGACTTTCCAGCTCTTATTCAGAACATTCCAAAAGCCTGCCTGGAAAAACAGCAGCAGCCAAGAGAGCCGTCTGAAGAAAAGTGGATATTGGATTCCATGATTTACCCAAACAGCTAGTTCCTCTTCTGCCTTTCATTGCCATATATTTTGCTGTTTTAGAGTAGCCCTAGGTATCCACTGAATTTATTTGGAAACATGGTCTTTTCAGCCAAATGCTGACACACCACCATCTCTTGTAAATAATTACAGTGTTTTAATCTGGCATCTGACAGCTTGCCAGGAGGACTTGTTATCCTTTTCTAAAAGGTTGCCTTTAGGACTGGTTTGGTAGATCATCTGGAAGGAATGAAGCACATCATGGATGTCAACTGTTACTCTCTCACAACACCCCTGCTTCCCAGATCCCCATGTGGAGGAATATCAGTGCCTAGAGTAAAATACCAGATACTCAAAGGGAAACCAGTCAAGGCGTTCAGTCATGAGGGTTTTTGTTTTCTTTTTCTTTTTAATTTTTGAATTTGAATCTTTTTTTAATTGAGGTATAATTGACATATAACATATCAGTTTCAGGTGTGCAATAATGATTCAATATTTGTATATATTGTGAAATGATCACTACAGTAAGTGTAGTTAATTTCTGTCGCCATACATAGTTACAATTCTTTTTCTTGTGATAAGAATTTTTAAGATCTACTCTCTTAACAACTTTTAAATATGCAATACAATATTATTAACTATAGTTACCATGCTATACATTACATCCTCATGACTGACTTATGGGTTTTTATTTTCAAGCATATTAAGGTCCTTCTGTACAATTCAGGTAGGCAAACCCTATGGACAGACTGCATCGTGTGGGGCTCTTAGCATCTGTGGTAATGTTTGTACTTATACTTTGGAGTTCTGTATTACTCCAGATTAGGGCAGCCAACCAGTCTGGTTTGCTGGGAACTGGTTTCAGCACCAAAAATTCTGGCATCCTGGGAACCCCCTCACAATAAATGTTCACCATTCTAGGAAGAAACCACCCATCGGGGACATATTTTGGGGGAGCATCATAGTTGAGGTCTCTGACTTTGATCTCAAGGGTTAAAGTTGTTCTCTGAGCTCCCCTAAACACCCTTTAATTGCTCACTTTTGTCTGATTTGTTATTTTGTTGGCTGGCTTTCCTGGCATTTCTCAAGAGAATCACTGACTGTCGTTAAACAAATGCATCTCTGCTGCTGCTTCCCCTGGAGCAGTTTGCGCAGAACTGCCCACGTGATGTTCAGCTGTGCCACATCCCTCCTCTAATTCACAGCATTTGCCCTTGTGACTTTCCAGTTGGGGCTCTTGCTTAAAACCATAGCTGTCTGTGTCCACAGCTTCCGGCAGTGTGGACAGCGTGCTTTCCAGCCGCCCACCCTGTGACATAGCATCATACCTGTTCTAGCTGCTGTGCAGCTGAACTAACTTCCGCTTCTTTTGAGGCCCCTTGCAGAGCCCCCAGTGCAAATATCAAATATGCCACTTAACCTGGATTTTACGTCACACTGTCCCAAACGTACCTTCCAAATTTGCTGAATGTGTCTAGCTATTGTCACAGGATGAAGCAACAGAAAGTGAATTAATTTTATTATATTGATATGAGCCTTCTCAAAAGTATTTGTATCTATTGCAAAAATGATTTAACGTCATAGCTAGTAGATACATAAAGAAATATATTGAAATGCTCATAAGAGAGTCACCCCGAGAGAATCCTGTGATTAATCCACAAGGTCACTGATAGTGGTTATAAAAATGGTGCAGTTCCACCATCGAAAGACACCCATCAGAGACCATTTGACCCCATTTTGCCGTCTCACACCTGAGAGAGAAAACTCTTCATTTTAGTCTTGAGTATGCCACCTGCCCTGCAACTTCCTGTGCCCAGAAGTTTTTCAGTGAGTCCGACCCCCCTTTTCCTGCTGTACTTTCATATTTTCTTTAATTTGGTCCACTGTAAGGCCAAAGAAGAGCTGGTGTTCTCCCTCTTGGCCTCTTCCTCTCCGCAGTAGAGAAGTTCCTGCGAAAATTGGATTTTTATGAATAGAAATCAGCAGAAGATCTTAGAGGGTCTCTGTAGTTGATCCTTTTCTGAGGTGAAGAATCAGCTTGCCCTGTACACTCGTCTGCTTCATCTGTTTAATCGATTTAGAAGTTGAGCATCCCCCCTACATGGTATATTGAATATGACTGCTGTTAGTGTGGAGGCTCCTTCTCATGGGAGGAGGCGTGGCTCCCGTGTGTGTGTGTGTCTGTGTGTGTGTGTGTCTGTGTGTGTGTGTATGCGCCACAGCAGATCCAAAACCAAAATGCAGTTGCTTGTGAAAATTGCCTTGAACTGAGAGGGCTTCATGTGGTTTTGGCGGCTGGAAAATATCCTGTCAAATGACGTAGAGCCAGAGCTGGTGTTGAAACCAGTATTTATTATTTCATTTGTTGTCAGACTCTGCGACCTCGAATGGGGTTCAAAGGCCGTAGTGCACCCGACTGCGGCTCTCTGTTACTGAGATGCAGTTTGAAGACCAGGTATCTCTCAGTTTTCTCCTACCTGACAAAGCTGTGCACACGAAGAGAT